TGCTCACCTCCCTCCTTGGTAATGGGCCTATTTCCATGCTAAAATGGAAGCTCAAACTTCAGATCCAGGCCAAGCTCTTTAGCTTGTCCTTTCCTCTCACTCTAGCACAAATATAACATGATTAAGTGTATCATCCCAAAGACCCAGCACCACCACTGCCATTTCCCAGACACTCACATGACCTGCTTTTCCTGAAGATTAATAGGTGGCATGGCCCGGATACCAGACTTGTTTGTTGAAGTACCATCACCTGAGCAGAGGGGGTCTGGGACCAGAAGCCCATTGAGATCTCCATTGTAGGCATTAGATGGCCGCTGGCTCTCTGTACTGGGACCTGGGGATAGAAAGAGCTGCTCTGAAGGTTGTTCCACCTGCTCACTGGCCTCTCCTCCTGTAGAATTTCATTCAAGAACCATGAGGTGCTCTAGGAACATTGCACTGAGGGAGCCATGTCAGTGGGGAGGAGGACCCTTGGTTCATCTTTTGTTTCATAAACTCTGATAGTTAACTCAGTCTCTGCCAGGACCAAGGATGTGCATGGGGCTCTTCTACCTGAAGGAGGAGTAAAGCTATCAAGAATCTGGTGAAGTCAATTAATACTCAGGCTCGGGTCGGCACAGAGGGGCTCTGTGTACTTGAGGGAAGGCATGGGAAGGGTCAGGACAGACTTCACAGAGGAGATGCCATCACAGCCTGTGTGGCTGGAACACACAAACAGGAAAGATGGAGGGAAAACAAGCTACAGAGGTCTCAGGTATGAATCTTGGGTGCTTAAATTCTCCCTGTAGCAATGAGAGCCACAGAAGAGTGAGAGTGTGTGTGTGTCTCTCTCTCTCTATATATATACACACATATACATATATGCATATACACACATATATCTTTTTTTTTTTTTTTTTTTTTTTTGAGAGGGAGAGTGAAAGAGCACATGTGTGCACATGAGCAGGGGAGGGGTGGAGGGGGAGAGAGAGAATCCCAAATAGGATCTATGCTGAGAGGACAAGGAGCTCAATCCCACTACTATGGGATCATGACCTGAGTTGAAATCAAGATTCAGAAGCACAATCGACTGAGCCATCCAGGTGCCCCTAGAGAGCCACAAAAGAGTTTTAAATGGGAAGGTGACATGGTCTGCTATGGCCAAAAGACTGACTGCTTTAAGTCAGCATGTAGCATAGTTGAGAATCCAAGTAAGAGATACTAGGTCCTAGACCAAGATAGTGGTAGAAGATAGACAAGCAAGATGGACTCCTAACACATGAAAGGACATCAATAAAGAAGTAAGAAAGAAAGGAACCTGCCCCTCACAGAAATGGCTCAGAAGACGAACCACCTTGGGCATGTAAACTCAGAAAGAATGGACATGAAGGAGTTGGGACAAAGTAAAGAGAAACTGTAGTTGGGAAAGACAGCATTTCAGTTGTTTGCCATTGGCTGTTTCAAGCACCCTCACAGGCTCAGACACCACCCTAAAACTCCCAGGTGACAAAGAGACTAGGGCTCCACATTGAAAAACATGGTAAGTTTCTAGTCACAAGACAGTATGGAGTTTGACATGGTGTTCCGTTGAGAGGAGACCAACAAGAGCTACTTGGAAAACTGGGCAATTAGGTACCAATCAACAAATAAGGAATTAAGTGGAAAGCCTGCAGTCCACTTCACTTGGATCAGAGCCACTTCAGCTATTCAGGGAGAGGCTGGCCACTCTTCCTCCCAGGCAGGCTACCATGAAGACAAACAAGCTACAAAATACTGGCCACGTCAGACTCTACCAAAGCTTTGTGCAGTCTAGTCTGCACAGAGGGGATGAGCAGGAGAGGTCCAAGCCAAGCTCACAAGTAAAGGGAGCACTCATTCCATGTCTGGGATGAAGTGCTTAGTGGTTTCAGGCAGCAGATGGATTTTCCTCAGGGGGTAAGGGGCACCTAAACCCACCCAGGGTGAGCACCAGTGCCTGCTTCCAAAAGCAGCCAGTTTGGGCCTCCCAGCAGGTTTAAGAACAGGGTCCCAGGAAACACCAATTCTCAGCTGTGGTCACTGCATACCCACACCACCATCACCAGCCAATCTTTCAACCACTACAACTTTTCACAGGTTCCTGAACCTGCCAGAAAACTTTGGTGCCTTCACACATGCTATTTGTTCTTTGCAGAATGCCATTCTTGACACTCAATCACCTGTTCATATTATAACACCTAACCTAAACACTGTCTTCGGTCTCAGATCTGTTCTCAGGCACTCTCCAGCCCCAACCCCATCTACCATATCTCCATCACAGTACCAAAATACTCCTTTTTTTCAATGACAATTCCATGATGTTACAACCTCATTAGCTCTCTATGTTCTCAAGGCTCCTTGAGGGCAGGAGCAGCTCTATCACTACAAGCCCAAGTAAAGTTTAAGTAAATAGAAATAAACTAGGGCTTGCAAATGTTTGTAGCCTAATCCAATCAGTGTCATGCAATCTGTGATTTGCTTTAATCCCAGAAAGGACACGGAATTGGGGCTGGTCATCTTTCTCCTGAAAATCAGCTTTAGAATAGCAGACCTGGAGTCTGTATTCCAGAGTGAAGGGTAAATTGCAGAGGGGGACCAGTGGCTCCTCAGCCCAGCGCCTAGGTCTAGACCCAGAACTCCGCACACCGAGGCCAGACCAGGCCTCAGAACTAAGGCACAAGGATAGGGAACCTGAGCTAGTCCCAGTAACACTACAGACCTTGGGGCCAGGACACGAACTTAGCCCTGCGGATTCAGAGAAGGAGTCTCACCTTCAGCAGAGACGCTGAAGGACGCGAGGCAGAACGGACCGGCTCAGGAATGGGAAGGGATTTGCACCCTTGACGGGCACGGTCAGCAATTTACCGCTCCAACCCCCGTCTTGCCTCACCAGCGAGGAGGATGCGGAATTGGTCCTGAGAGACCTGTGAGCCCTAAGGACGGCCCAGACCCGCGCCGCCCTTATGCCCGCTCGCCGAGAGCCCACCCCCGGTGTACTGGCTCACCCCCCGCGGGCCGGTCCAGCTTGAGGATGTCCCGCAGGTGCTGCGTGGCGTCCTCGATGTCGATGCTCGCGCAGGAGGAGGCCATGGGCCCAGGCGCAGGCGCCTTGTCCACGCCGCGTTCGTTTCGCTACCTCCGCGCAGAGTGCAGCCGCGCACAGCCCTGCCAGGACCAGACAGCAAGACACCGGTCACTAAACTCGATCCACCCGCCGCCCGCAAACCGCCGCCCGCGCCGCGTCCCTGTGCCCCACCAGCACCACCAACCGCCTCCACTTCCGGCCCGCCAGAGCCCTGGCTCCCGGAACCTGCGCAGGGTGAAGAAGAAAGGTTCCGGGCTGGGGGCGGAAGCTTCACCCCTCCCGGACCCTTTGGTCAACGGGTGAGACAAATCAACCTTCTTCAGGGCTAAGGCAGAGCAAATATCTATGTACTGGACTGCCCAAATCCCTGTGCACCTTGGGACATCCCGTCCAGTTTATGTCCATTACCAGAACATGAACTCATTGAGTCCAGAACTGGATCAACTTAGCCACCCAGGTTAGTCCCTCAGACCCTATCCAGGAAGAAGGTGAATTGGTAGGCCTCCCCTTTGCGAAATGGGGCAGGGCGACCCAAGGCCTCAGGGGGATTGTAAACCCAGGAATTGTAAGGGGAGGATAGTCAAATCACAAACATTGCATTGTTACTTAATATCCCCCAGCATCCCCTGCCCGCCCAGGCCTGACAACCTCAGGCAGGAAGAAAGAAACCAGAGTTTACAAACACCTCTTTATTGCAGAAATTTCAGGCACAGGTACATGGAAGAAGCTGTATTGCAGATTTTATACAGGGTGGTTTAAGAGGCAGCAGGCATCTACCTCTCTCCGGACCCCCATTCCCCAAACACATAGCATCCTAAATCAGTCCCACTGAAATCTCTAAGTGTGGTCTTCTAAACACAGTTCATCATCCAACCCTCTACCGAGGGTAGCCAGGCAACTTGTGGGGGGTCTGAGGAAGTCCTTGGCCTCCATCCATAGTGCAGGGGGAAAGGGGAGTACAGGTCAGGCTTAACTGTGGAGCCCTCACCAATCTTAAAACCCCTAGCAGGGCACCAGCCCAAGACTTGGGTTTGGTTCTAGCTTTTGGTTGCGATCTTGCCACCAGACTTTATAACACCAGAGGTCTTAGGGCTAAGGGCTAGATTTGTAATGGGCAAGGCCTCTGTCCCCCAAACTGAGCAGAAACTGCCCTGATGATAGTTAATATTTCCTGGGACTTGAAGAAAACGTGAAGGTATGTGGTGAGGCAGGAAACAGAAGGCCTAGAGATGCCTTGCAAAGGTCTGAGGGGTATGAAGTCCCAAAGCACAAATCCCTCAGTCTCAGACTGCCTACTTTCATAGCTCTAGATCTGTACCCCAGCCCAACTGGGCCTGGCTCTGCACTCTGCGGGCAAATGGAGGCTGACTGTTCTGGGCACTCACCTCTGGGCAAGGATATCCAAAACTGGATACAAAACTGGAGCTGCCCTCTGCTTGGCTTGGGGTTTATGGGGCCCCCTGGATGTGATCCTGACTGTTCTGGGGGTAGAACAGGATATTCTCCCTCAAACCTTTGCTCATTTTATACAGGGTAGTTTTGCTGAGCCCTCAGCTCAGAGCACCTGAGCTTAATGAGTCATTTTCAGTGGGATTCTAGATCATCTCTATTACCAGAGCCCTGACCTACCCAATGTAGGAGTTGTCAGAAGTGACTGCAAAGGCTTCAGTGCAAGGGAAGCTTCAGGCCAGACCCAAGCTGTCTGCAGCTCAGTTTTCCAGGACCAGGTGGGCTGAGGTGGGGCATACTATGCCCTAAAGGCTTCTGAGAGAAGCTATCTGGGAGTGCTGCTTCAGCAGTTTCTCTTTGTAACATGTATTGCTGAGTTGGGGGGAGAGGTGGGAAGGTGAGACATGAGAGAGACAATGGGGCAGGGTAGTTATTGATGCCCAGCCAACTATTAAACTCATTAAAACAATTTAAACTGTTAAGAAAATTTTTGTGGTTTTATTGTATCATGAGGCATTGAAACATCCGAACAAATCAATATCTGGGCGGTGAGGCAGCTGCTTTCTCCTTCACTTCTTTGGGTTACTAGAGCAACTTGTCAGTAGATTAAAAAACAAAAACAAAAACAAAACAAAAAAAACAACCTTTTGCATTACTTAAGTCTTTCCAAGGCATGCGCTGGTACAACACAAACTTCTCCTGTCAGATGCAACTAGTCTAGCGTCCAAACATCATGCACAATACCCCAGTAGCAGCAGCGCACTGCGCCCACTCCCACCGCGGCCCTGCTCATTTGTGTATGATATTTGGAGCATCTGGAGGAGTGTGAATAATATTGGGGAGAGGAGGGAGGAGGAAACAGCATGAGTGCCTGGCTGGGAGGAGGTCAGCCGAAGTTGTGCAGGGCAAGCCTGAACATGTCATTGGTGCAAACCCAAGCATCGTTGATGTTCTTTAATAGGAACATCTGGTGGAACCCCATGATGGGGTCTTCATCAGCCTGTGAGGAGAAAAAAAATGATTCAGTAAGTAGGCCAAGGAACAGGAAGGGAGTTTAGTGGCAAGGGAACAGGACAAAGAATGCTGACTTTGAGATCAGGCCCTACGGTCTTGGACTCAAATCCCAGTACAGCCAAAGTGTATTTATGAATGTGAATTGATATAATGTACAAAACATGGCACTGGGCACATAGGGGCTACAGATGGCAGTTCTCACTGCTACATGCACTTAAACTGTAGAATACATCACCAATTAGCCACCGTAAGAGAGCAGAAAACACACCTGCCTCTGAGCCCATGTCTCTAAGCAGTGATCAATTTGAAAGAGTTCTGTAGTGCTCACCGCATAACTTACAGTACCTAAAACCTAAATAATCTTAGCGTCTGATTACACCAGTTAGTCCAATTCAGAGAAACTACTGTTAATACTGACTGTGGCCAAGTAGGTGAGAAAAGACTCAAAACGGAGTTCACACTGTAATCAAAGCTCTAACAAAGAGCAAAACAAAGAGCAAAAACGAAGCAATGTCACCTGGTGATGTTTCCTGTCGTGTCATATATAACATTTGCAATGAAAGAAAAAAAAAAAGGCAAGACACCTCCAGCCAAACTGCAGAAGATCAGGATGAAGCATAGTTAAGGTAGGAGCCCAGTTAACCAGTGCTATCTCTAACATTGCTGGGGTTTCTGGGATTTATCATCAGTAATTAGGCAAATCAGTCTTTCAGGGACTCTGAGTTGGGACAGAAGCAGCAGAATGAACCTGAAGCCAAGTGGGAAATGGGCCATGCTTACTGACCCTATCCTGGAAAATAGGCACCGAGCCCCCTGAAAAGACCTCTTCACTCCCAACAGCCTATCTGAACACAAACTCTGGGCAGAGCATGTTGGACAGGCAGGAAAAACTGACAGGAAAGTCCAGGCCACAAGGCAGGTCCTTCTGGGTCCATGGCAGAGGCCTATGGGGCCCCTCTTTCTGCCCTTTTATTTAACCCAGAAGGCCCCACCTAACCTACGGAGAAGGCCATGTGGGCCTATTATTCAGAGTCCCACCGTGACACGGGTCCAGGAGACTGGGACCTGGTCGATGGGCAGCCAACCTGTCCTGCTTTGGAAAGGAGGAGAAGCTTTTTGGAAATTAAAAATCTGGCTTCAGTCTGCTGGAGCACAACAGGTAGGAGTTCCCATGAGAGTTCTTGGGGGACTGAGGAGCTGAAGGCTTTGAAGAGGATAGGTCTTGGAAGAGGAAAGGAGAATGCAAACAGAAGCAGGAGTTCCAGGAATCTGCTTTGCTCAGCAGGTGGCGGAGCCAGTAGCCAGCTCAGGAAGTGGCAACATGGACTCCAGCAAGGGACTGCAACTCAGCACCCAGCTGGCCCATCTAGGACCAGCTGCCGACAGAAAGCCCACCTATACCTCAGGGCAGTATGAAGGCCCAGTATCTTAGCACCACAACCCCACCCTGCTCCTATACCTCTTGTCCCTTTTCCAGAAAGGCTCTAAACCTGTACTCTCCAATAGTACTTTCTGTAACAACAGAATCAGTCTGTGTCTGCACTGTCCAATAGGCAGTCACAGTGACTGACTGTAAGCACTTGAAATATACTTAGTTCGGCTGAGGAACTCCATTTTAACTTTCATTTTAATTAATGCAATTTAAAAATTGCCATTAAAATTGAAACATAATATAAAAATGTGACTAGTGGTTATTGTATTGAATTATACAGCTCTAGACACCGAGTGTCCCTTGATAAGCAGGTCACATCACAGGGAAGGCAGGTGCGCAGGGCTCTCCTCTGCCTGCCCACTCCTCCCTACCAGCACTATTACCTTGAGCTGGCCCACAACCATGCTGATGATGCAGCTATCTGGCGTGGGCTGATGGTCCTGCGCCGTGATGCTGTGCTGGATTTTCTGGAACGGAAGGCTCTGCAAAAGAAAGAGGGGGTGATGGGCTGTGGCCAGCAAGGCAGGGAAGTAGCTGCTTGCAGCATGACCCTGGCCTTTACTTACAGACAACTTCTCCACAATGGCAGCTTTCCCCTGGAATTGCTGTCCTTCCCACGTAAGGCATGATGCGTCAATCTGAAAACCAGAAAACATGGGGTCAGGGCCTCAGAGAAAAAGGAATTTATCTCTGAGGCCCTGAAAAGGACCTTGTTTGGAAAAATGAGTCCAAAACTCAATTACCCTATCTATAAAGAAGGGAACTGAAGGTAGTTTCCATACTTTACACTACTAACAACCTCTTTAATTACACCCTATCTTCCCAGAGCCCAGGCTCTGAAAAGCTAACAAAATACAAACCTATTTAGTAAGTTCATTTCCTGGTTTTTATTCAAGAAGTTATATGCCCCCTGGGGGCATGTGGGTCGCTCAGTTGGTTAGGTGTCTGACTCTTGATTTCAGGTCAGGTCATGATCTCACAATTCATGAGCTAGACCCCTGTGTCGGGCTTTGAGCTGATAGCATGGAGCCTGCTTGGGATTCTCTCTCTTCTCTCTCTGTCCCTCTCCCGCTCTCTCTCTCTTTCTCTCAAAATAAATAAATAAACTAAAAAACAACAACAAAAACAAAGAAGTTATATGGCCTCTGATATGCATGAGCCCTAGGCTGCCTATTATGTGGTCAAGGCTCAGCCAAAAGTCATCCTGCTATGTGGTCAGTCAGCACCAGTACTAGAGAAGCCCATGAGAAATAACTTGGAAACATTCTATGTTCAATTACCATCTCTAGAGCTCAGGCTGAATTCTACTGAGGCCACTCCCATAAGGACACCCATGAGGTGAGGGAAGAATGGAGGCTGACAAGGCCTCCCCAAGGCCTAGCCTGGGACCCTACCTACATCAACATGCAACCCACTAGTTTCATCCCCTCCCCTCCATATTTTTCCTGCCATAGACTTCAGGGGCAGAACTCAAAACTGCCTTTGCTACTTACCAGCTATAATATTTGGCAAGTTACATATTTTTCTATTTTCTGATCTTTATTTATTTAAAAAAAAAATTTTTTTTAAACGTTTATTTATTTTTGAGACAGAGAGAGAGAGAGAGCATGAACAGGGGAGGGTCAGAGAGAGGGAGACACAGAATCTGAAACAGGCTCCAGGCTCTGAGCTGTCAGCACAGAGCCCAACACGGGGCTCGAACTCACGGACCGCGAGATCATGACCTGAGCCGAAGTCGGCCGCTTAACCGGCTGAGCTACCCAGGCACCCCTCTATTTTCTGATCTTTAAAAAAGACATATGCTGAGGATTATACAAAATGACATACATAAAGCATTCTTTTAGGACCATGCTCTCTTCTCTGGGTCGGGGCTGCTTTCATTGATTTTAAGAAGCAAATAAAACAGAAGTGCCAGGATCCCAGAGTCATATCAGTTCAAGTTTTTAAAACTCTCTCTGATGACAACCAAATAATGCATTTACTGGATTTGGCTTTCCACTGGTAAGATCCCTTTCTTTTCTTCAGACTTGACCCCGAGTTTCTGGAGACACAGAGAGAGCTTTGCCCCACAGCCCAGTCAGGTTCTCAGGCTATGCTGGATGACTCCTATCATTTCCATTATGGACAGACCTGCTAGAAATGGCCTGATCAATCACATTACTGTGACTGAGTCCTGGCAGGGTCAAATACAAGTAGCTCTTGGTATACATGATCATTAAAATAGCAAGTGCCTGCCTAGAAGAGTTAAAGACACACCAGTCTCCCTGGGCTAACCCCATTTGTTTACCATGAGCATTCAGGGGTGTTTGGCCCTCAAAAGGAAACTTGGACCTAAGACCTCCAGGAGAACTCAGTTTTGCATTGATGATGCTCATACCTGCCACTTCCAGAAAGCACCATGAGCCTTACATCTGTCTGCTGCTGCCCAATCTGGAACCAGAGGCACTCTCAGGACCATGGAATGGCAAGCCAGTAACAACCTGCCAAGGATACAGGATCCCTACTCTTATGGAAGATGACAGAAGGGAACGTGTAGACCAGGTAGTTGGGCTAAGCCTCAGGCCTCTTCTGCCACAGACAGAAGCTTAGATAGAAGAGTATAGCCAAATCCGGTAAGGGCTGCTAGAACTTGTGAACTGGACACACTGGCCCAACATCTGAATGGATCCCTTGGGGACCCTGTTCAGGCCCTAGAGCTGGAGACTTACATAAATTGCGCCTAGTTGGGTTCTGTCGTTATCAAATAACTGGTAGTAATGTTGAATGAAGCTGGATCCAATCTGCTCCCAAATTGGCTTGTCTCCCATTCTGGAGCGTCACCCGGCCTCACTGAGACCTGCAAGATCAGCAAGACATGGAGGGAAGTGTTGGTACCAAGGGAACAGGAGGTAGCCAGCTGCGGTTTCTTCACTGACCCCTACCCCTCCTGGCCTCCTCCAGGAGGGAGTCTTTTGGTGAGGTCTGTTATAGAGAGGTCCTGGAGAATTGGTAGGAGGCCCCTCCCAATACAGACCAGTGCAGGGAGCCCAGAGGTGGACCAGACTCAGACTCTCCTTTGAGGAGCTCTGGCTAATGAAACAAAGGGGCTCCCAGGATGTGGAGCACATAGGATAGGTGCTGAGGGTGGAGCCAGGACAGTCAGAGCAAGCCCTTCAATGCCCAATGGGGGGTGGGGCTTTAAGAAGGAGCTAACGACACACACTCTCCCCACATGTTTTCATTTAATTCTCTCAACAATCTGTTCTTCCCACTTTGCAAGTCAGAAATTACAGATATCTGTGTAATGTCCTTAGTCCCATCAACATTGCCCCAGGGCTATATCAAGAGGTGGAGGAAGACCCAGTGAGAGTAGGGGGAGATGTCTCCTCAAGTCCTCACTTGCAATAAAACAGCAAGTGATCCTCCATTTTAGTCTTAAGGGAGCAGTTTACTTCTTTGAGCACAGGTAACATCTATTCATTTCTTCATGACAGGGTTATCCCTACCCACTTCAGAGATGGGAACATGAATTCAAAGAATCAGAGAGTAATACTGAGGGGGTCTGGGAAGGGAAACAGAGGCGATCATCTCTTCACACTCCCCATCCCAGCACTGCCTCCGTTGGAAGGGGCTGCCCTTCTCTGGTCTTTGGGGGGGGGAGGCGGGGAGACCGCCTCCCAGCTATAGACATCACAGCTCCAAGGCTTGCTAGAAGGAAACTCAAGCCGTAGACGAGAGCCACTCTGGCTTTGCTAGGCCCCTCCCAGATAGGAAGCCCACATCTCACTGAAGGATACCACAATGGCAGACTTGTATGTTGTTCCACAGTTGTGTCTGACTACCTCCCCATCTTCTGACAACAGGACTCTGAACCAAAGCAGTGAGGAGTTGCGTTGTGTCTGTTAATGGCAGACAACCATTAACAGTGGTGGGACCTGATGCAAGTCATTGCCCCAAGAAGGGCCTCAGCTCCCTCCTCTGTAAGGGGGTGGAACCCTGATGTTGCCAGTGGTTGTGAAGCCTCACCAAGGGAACCTGCTAGTTCACTCTAGTCCCTATGACCTCACCCAAGGCCAGAGGAGCCAGCCGGGATAGATAATGTAGAGGGCCAGTGGCTTAGTCCCAATCCAGCCAATCTCCCAGCCTATGACCAATACTTCAGCCAATGAGGGGCCAGGAAGATGAGCCAGCTTTATTTTAGGTCCCATAGGAGGTGGTGGCACTAAAAATAGGAGCTCAGTGCTAAGATGACTAAGAAATGTCCAAGAAAAGTCTAAAACAAGCAGAAGAGAAAGACTGGACCCAGGCACGCCTGCTACACAGGAATACAAGGTGTGTCCCAGTTCATACTCTGCCAAGAAACAAATCAACTTGTAGGAAAAGCATAGGGTCAAAAGCTAGTCTCAGCTGCTGTCATGGTCACATTTCCAAGGGGTCAGACTGTAGCTACGCCCCCACTCCTAGCCATCTCTGCTGCATCTCAAATCTCTGCCTCTTCCAACCTAATATTCACTATGTTGGCTCATTCACTGTGGCCCAGCCCCATGGTATCCTACCCCAAGAGCTCTGGGGCAGAGGGAAAGCTACAAGAATGGGTAAGGGCCATCTCTCCCTCTGTCCTCGGCAAGGTTGGGCAGTCCTCAGGGAAGGTCTTGGAGAAAGAGTATGCTGATCAGAAGAAAAAGCATAAGTATGTGTCTGGGCACAAGAAAAGAGATAAGGGCAGGGAACAGGAAAGCTGGAGATGGAGGGTAAGGGAAAATAAGGCTAAATAAAAGCTGACCCAAAGACAAGAAAAGTGATGCCATGTGGTAGGACAGTGATGCAGAGGAAGTATGGGGGGGGGGGTCCTCTTTTTTCAATATTGTTCTTAAGGTATGTTAACTTGCCAATACAAAAACTACTTGGCAGGGGCGCCTGGGTGGCGCAGTCGGTTAAGCGTCCGACTTCAGCCAGGTCACGATCTCGCGGTCCGTGAGTTCGAGCCCCGCGTCAGGCTCTGGGCTGATGGCTCAGAGCCTGGAGCCTGTTTCCGATTCTGTGTCTCCCTCTCTCTCTGCCCCTCCCCCATTCATGCTCTGTCTCTCTCTGTCCCAAAAATAAATAAACGTTGAAAAAAAAAATTAAAAAAAAAACAAAAACTACTTGGCAGAAGTAGTGGTGGAGTGAAGAGGGAGGACAGATAAAGGGACAGAAAGACACTTTGGTCCAGTGGGGCAGGGCAAAGTGTGTTTTCCTAAGGAATGAGACTGCTTGGGGGCACCAGAAAGTGTGAGAAGGAACCTTCAAAACTATGTAGACTGAGGCCTTTTCCAAATAGGGTCCCTGAAGCCAATACCAACCTTGTTCTTGGCCTGTTTGACCCTGATACGTTTATTTCCAGGTACTGATCATGGTAGCCATGTGGTCAGATTCCACTGTCATCCCACTTTACAGGTGGGAAAACTGAGGTTTAGTGATATGTCTTGCCCCAAGTCCATCTAGTACATCAGGGCTTACACTGGGTCCTCTGGTTGAAGTCAGCACTTTCTTTCTGCTAAATATGTGCCCCTGAGCTCTAAACCACAAAGCTGGCCATGTCTCTTCTGTACAACAGCCTCACCTTTGGATTAAATCTTGAAACTCCACAGATATGCATCCATACCTGTCCCTGTCTCCCTAGCATTCTGTCCTACCTCCATCCAGCTCACACACAAATAGAACAGAACTCACTCAGTGCTTGCTCACTGATTTTTGCCCCACCCTCACCCTATGAGTCCCCCTACTGGGATGTCCTCCCTCCTCTCATCTGTCTGGTCAAGTTCTTACTCTTCCCTCAGATTCCATCTATTTGGGTCCTCCTTCCCAGACTCATATGTTGACCCCAACCCCATGTGCAAAACCATATTAACACAGCCAGAGCTCACTCCTCTGCCTAAACATTGTGGCTCTGGTCTGGGAGGGTTCCAGTGTGGTTCCTGCCACACCCACTCCATCCCACCCCAATCCCTTAGCACAGAGTGTGGCTCAGCAAACTACAGGATTTACAGTTTGACTCCAAATCTCCCATAAAGCTTTCAACTCTTGGCTGGGAGGCAGCATTCCTGCATCCAGGAAAAGAAGCAGGGAGCAAAGTACCCCACCCCCCCCTCATCCCAAGCAACACAGGGATGGGTCTGGGCCAAGCTGGGAGGATGTTCCCCAGGATGGCCAGCAAGCCCTGACCTTGATTCTAATACATATACTGCAGAAAGAACAGTCTAAAAAGAAAAATGCCAAGGCTCAGAAGCAGCCTCATATCAGGTTGGGGACTGACCTTCGTGACGGCTTCTCCTACAGTTCTTCCAAGAGGACCGCTGACCACGCCATCTCCTGCTTCACCCCAACAGTCCGCAGGCTGAGTGAGGCCAGGCTCCTCGAGGAGCAGAAATGACCTCGATGACCTCTCGCCCACTGAGCATCAGCCTTCACTGACCTTTAGGTCTCTGTGGGTGCAAAGACCCTCTAAGAATGTCTCAAAAACTGTGACCCTCTCCCAATAAATTTGCACAGAGGTAGGGATGTCCCAGCCTTGCGAATAATTTCAGATTGTTCAGACTCCCTGAGGCTGTCAAAGATCCCAGGGTAAATCTTTTGCCCAAAAAAAAAAAAAAAAAAAAAAATCTTTTGTCCAGAATACCCCATTAGACAACAGAAAATTTTCATTTCTATCCTCAAATTCTGGGTCAGTGTTTCCAGTGACAACACTTTAAAAAAATTTTTTTTAATGTTTTTTTTTTTTTTTATTTTTGAAGGAGAGAGAGACAGAGTGTGAGTAGAGGAGGGGCAGAGAGAGAGGGAGACACAGAATCGGAAGCAGGCTCCGGGCTCTGAGCTGTCAGCACAGAGCCAGACGCGAGGCTCAAACCCATGAACTGTGAGATCATGACCTGAGCCGAAGTCGGACGCTCAACCGACTGAGCCACCCAGATGCCCCTCCAGTGACAAAACTTAAATAGCAGTGTCTACCTGATAACATCTCATTTTTACTAATACGTATTAGGTATAGACATGTGCTAAAGGCTTTACATGCATTTGGTCCTAACACCCTGTGACTCGATTCCCACATTAGAGACGAGCAAAATGAAGCTCAGAAAGGTTAGCTAACTTGTTCAAGGCCATAAGCCTAATGGGTGGTGGAACTAGATGGAACCAGGTTTACTGGACTCCAGAGCCAGGACTCCCAGAGACAACAGGTTGGAGGTAAAAATGAGTAGACCACCCAGTGAGAGAGGTGCTCCTGGGCACATAGCACTGAAGCCCTAACCTCTAACCCTGACTCTCTCAGAGAGGGGCAAGACAGGCCTGAACCAGGGCTTCTGCCTCCAAACAAAGGCACCAGGCAGACTTCCACACCAAACCCAAACAAAAGGCGTTTTCATGGGGGATGATCTCACAGTTTCCCCAAACGTGCGAAGTCACAGCCCAGTTCTACCATCTCAGCAAGTCAGAGATCCTGGCCTAGCTGGACCTGGGGCAGGGCTGGGGGCAGGAGAGTGATGGGGAAGAGGATGTTCCAAACTCCAGACTGATACAGAGAAAGACCCATGTTTGTCTTTTTTTGAGCACCCATCACCAAGGCCTGCAGGGGATGTCAGCAGATACACCAAGCTTCTAGGGGGATCCTTGAAGTCAGCATCAACCATGGCCATTACTCTCATACATCCTATGGCCCTCCAGTGACTTCCCTCCCATTCTCCACTGACAGTCTCAACCACTTAGACTGCCTTCAAGGCCCCTGGGTGACCTGCCCTCCTGGCTGTCCAACCTCATCTGCCACCCAACCCACCCCTCGCCCCTCCTCTACTGCCAGTCTGGGCATGTCCCTGTTCCTGGAACATGCTGAGCCTGTTCTCACCCAAGAGCTTTGCAACTGTTGATCCTTCTACCCAGATCACTATTCTCCCTGGATCTTCATTTGTCTGCTCCTTGTCACATATGTGTCAGCTCAAATGTCACCTCCTCACAGACACCTTCTCTGTCCGTTCGGTCTAAAGTAACTGGTCACTCATTTCACCATCTTGTATTGTTTTCTTAGCACTTATCACTGAATGAGATTGTCACACTTAACATATTTGTTTATGCTCTGTCTCCCTGACCTGGGCATCCCTGTTGCCATGGTGCCTGGCCCAGCTCTCCTTCTCTGGAGGAGGAGCAAATTCTGGGTGAACCCTGCCGAATTTAAGTGACCCACCTCCTCTCTACCTGCACCTTCTGTCTAAGTCATCAGGAAACAGTCCTTTGTCAACTACCCAGTCATCTGTCTATTGGAGGGCTTGGTCCAACCCCCTCACTTATCCCCAAAGCCCTGGTCACCTGAAAGAAGGTCAGCTGTGGCTCAACAGCAGGCACACAACCACACCCTCAAAGGCTTGGCCTCTAGCCTATTCCTCCTCTCCCTTGTTGTATGACCCTTTGACCTTTTTCCTCACCAGTAATTGGGGATGTTAGGGGTAATCAACTGAGGGTATAAAGGAAGACCCAGCTGCAAGGAGTCCATCAGGTCCTAAGTGAACACCGAGGTCAAGAACTAGAAAGAAGGTGGTTACCGCAGCCTCCTACAAGGATACCACACCATGGAACAGCCTCAATCCAGGACTCCCAACTGCCTAGTCCACCATTCCCCTGCCTGAAGTCTGGAGAGAAATCAGCCAAGGTCTAGTGCCGGCATGGCTGGCCAGGACAGAACCCTTTCCTGGGGCAGACCCCTGAGGCCTAAGTGCCTCCAGTGAGGGCCTTTTCCTCCTCTTTGGCCTGGAGGAGGGATCCAGAACCTTCAGGACACCCTGGCCGGCCCAGAAGCTAATTCCTGAGATCTGCATTCTGGTCCCTCTGCTCTGTACTTACTCAGACCCTAAGTAGCCTCCCTTTCCCACATGACCCAGAGATTTCTAGGGACCCTGTCCTAGACAGCTCCCATCCATGAACTGAACCCCAGGCCATGAACTTACTGGTCAGGTATACATGGACTTGGCTCCCCAGTTGGGCCTAAAGCCCCTAAGTGACCACCCCCATGGTCTGCTACCACCATGCCTGGCTAATACTGCCATGACACTCTGAGACTGAGGTGAGCAGAGGAATAAAGGGATGCACACGGAGTCTCCGGAGTGCTGAATGGAATGACTTCTTCTGTAAGCAAAACAGTTACATATGAGGGCGCCTGGGTGTCTCAGTCAGTTGAGCGTCCGACTTCAGCTCAGGTCATGGTCTCACAGTTTGTAGGTTTGAGCTCCATGTCAGGCTCTGTGCTGACAGCTCAGAGCCTGGAGCCTGCTTCGGATTCTGTGTGTCTCTAGCTCTCTGCCCCTCCCCCACTCACGGTCTGTCTCTCTCTCTCTCAAAAATAAAAAAAATAAACGTAAAAAAAAACAGTTACATGTGTTCTCTCATTTGAGCCTCACAGCTGCAAAGCTAGTATGATTACCATCATTTTATAGATGCAGAAACCAGGACTCCAAGAGGTTAAGAAAAAATTCAAGACTACATAGGGCCACTGGCATAGCCAGCATTAAGATATCCACAAAACTGGCTTGGACTAGAACAGCTGTGAGTCAATGTCAGGTAGCATAAAGTGTAGAGGTAACAAATGAAGTGCTGAGGAATGGAGCCCAGGCCTTTTCTTGTCCTCTGAAATCAACAAATTCCGTTCCCCTCAGTACAGAAAGACCCTCAGTGCATGCTCAACTGGTCAAAGTAGGACTATACCATAGGGACAAGTGAGTACTTGCGTTCGCCTGGGTGTAAAACCACCTCTGCAAATGGAACCAATGTCTCTACACACAGACCTCACTCCAGGGGGCAGCAGTCTCTGCCCTGGTGAGACCCAGTGGCTCTGAAGTATCAGAGGCTTTAAGAAACACATTCCAGGGGTGCCTGGGTGGCTCATTCGGTTGAGGGTTCAACTTAAGCTCAGGCCATGATCTCGCAGTTCATGAGTTCGAGCCCCACATCGGGCTCTATGCTGTGAGCGTGGAGCCTGCTTTGGATCCTCTGTTTCCCTCTCTCTTTCTCTCTTACTCTTTCTCTCAAAAATAAATAAACATTAAAGAAAGAGAGAAAGAAAGAAGGAAAGAGAAAGAAAAAAGAAAAAACATCCCAGAATTTCCTCAGTTTACTGAAGCAAACAGTCCTGAGTTCCCAGGCACCTCAAAAATACCACTCTCATGACGGGGAGGTTCTCCTTCTCAGGGGTAGCTCCTCTCTATTCTAGGGACTTAGGGAGTCGGCACATAGCAGGTACCACAAATAGGTAAGGAGTAAGACCCAGGGCAGTAAAAGAAAGCCATAGCAGGTCAGGTGGCCACTAAGACACTTCCACAGTCACAGCCAGACCTGCACAAAGGATTCTTCCCAGGAAGACACATTCTAGCTGACAGGATGAGAAGGAGGATGATTCCACACAAACCTGGTGCCCAGGATGCTGACCAAAATGATCATTATCACGTGGGCCTGGAAGTCACTCCAGGGATAACCCACACACTGCTGACTCCCTCAGGGAGCAATTCAGGAATTCTTATCACATATGGTCAAAGCAAGAAAGTCTCAAAGCCAGGGAAGAGGTAGCCAATTCAAATCCAACCTCAAATACACAAACATTCTCAGAGGGCCCATCAGCAAAAATTAAAAAAAAAAAAAAAAAAAAATCTCCATGAGGAGGTTCAGTTCAACCCCTGCTCTTTAGAAATCCTGCTCAACTTCCAATGTCCATCCTGCGGAAACGTTTTTGGATCCCCTCTCTCCAAAAGGACTATTCCCTTTTATCTCTGGGGGGTGGGCAGCTCTGTTTCTCACTCTGGGCAGATGTCCTCATGGGTACCATTCAGGAGCACTGGGCATTTGAAAAAAAGTGACCTGAGAGGGTCTTACTGAAAGGGGCAGAAGCCACACACCCAGGCTCCACTCAGGGAATGGGAAGACCACAAAATGCTGGTGAGAGTCCCAGACAGTGGGAGAATGCCCAGCAGAGACCCCTGGGACAGAAAAGCAGGCTGTAGAAGACAGCAGCTAGACCCAAAAGCCACAGCAATCTGGAGTGGTGACAGCATTGCTCAAGGGACCCCAGACCTTCCTGCACACACCAGTGGAAGAATGCCTTGCTCTACGGTTCCTGCTGGAAGCAGAGAGGAGAGTAGGCTCACTAACAGCCTTTCTTCATCTGTGCTCTAGCCCCTTCTTCTGTGCCAAAAGACCCTAAGTACATAATAGTAACATTAGCCCTAAGTATGTAATAGTAACATTTCCTCCTTTCCCCAGCACCAGGACTGGGTAGGGCTCATTTTGCTACCTTCAGTTTCAGCTCAGAGCCTATTACACAAAAAGGGCCAAAGAATGGTTGTTGAATAATACTAATCATTGGTAAGAAAGGAAAAGAAAGTTCCAAGAAAGATACTAACGTTCCAGTAGAGGAATCCTAGAATATTTTAATATAAGGTGTCTTCCAGTTCTAAAATTAGACAGCAGAATAAAGTGAGATATGGCTCAGGGGCACCTGGGTGGCTCAGTCGGTTAAGTGTCCAACTTTGGCTCAGGTCATGATCTCACGGTTCATGGGTTCAAGCCCTGCATCAGGGTCTGTGCTGACAGCCCAGAGCCTGGAGCCTGCTTCAGATTCTGTGTCTCCCTCTCTCTCTGCCCCTCCCCCACTTGTACTTGCATGCACTGTCTCTCTCTCAAAAATAAACAATATTTTTTTTTTTTTTAAGTGAGATGTGGCTCAGAGAGGAGAGGTGCAGGGGCTCCTGGACAGTTCAGTTGGCTAGGCATCCGATTCTTGACATCAGCTCAGGTCATGATCTTGAAGTCATGAGATACAGCTTTGAGTCATGCTGAGAGTGGAATCTGCTTGGGATTCTTTCTCTCCCTCTCTCTCTGCCCCTCCACCAGCACACATGCGTGCTCTTTCTCTCTCAAAATAAATAAAAACTTAAAAAAAAAAAAGAAGTGCACTCTATGTCACTAAAGGACCTAGTTTAGAGTTGAGAACCTAGGCATCCTCACACCCTGCCCCCATGCTTATGCGGCCACATCTCGACTGCTTCATGCCAAACTCCACTTCCAAGTCAGCCCTATGTGAATAGAAGGTGCAGACAGATTCTGGAGAATCTCAGGACTCTCTTCTTATCTCTGAGATACAGATGGCCTGCCAAATTCCAGAAAGATCAAGGACTTCTGGGGGTCAGGATGCCGGGTAATGGCTAGTTAAGCCCAGACACAGAAGTTATAGAAAACTTCTAGGATTGGAATGAGGGAGGAACCGGAATTCTTCCTCCTCCTGGGTAATCTTCAAGAAGGAATGGTATCTTTTTGACCCTGAAGAAAACCATTATCATAAAGTCACTTAGGGCCTTGGAATGTGCAAACTGATCCATAGCAGTAAGCCTACCTCACGTGAAACCTGTGTCCTAGACAAAAGGAATCCTGACAATCTTCAGAGGGTCTTGAAACAGCTGTCTCTAGTACTAAGAGATTCTATCACAGGGATCCTGTGTATGTTCTTAGGGCAGTCCCTTCTTCTTGCCCATGTCCACTAGCAAACCAGACCTCTCCTGAGCTTGCTGAATGAACCTGACTTCCACATGTTTATGGGCCAGCATGTGGACTAGGAGGTTTGAGTACAGAGGGAAGGGAATCAGGAGATCAGGACAGATCTTTGCCTGTTCTCCTTAATCAGGGAGAATGACTAGACAAAGCAATTCAACTGCAGAAAAACTGCCAAAGCTAGAGCCCAATGACCAGAAAAATATCACCCGGGGAAATACTCAAGGAAAAAAAAAAAAAGTCCAGCGGTGGTGGCTTCCTGCATCATGGGCCTAACTCAACTTTCTTAAGAGATCTGCTTGCTGCTGAAGCCAGGCCTACGGAGACTTAGCTGCTTCTTTAATCCTCACAAAAACTATAGCTCAGAAGCTATACTGGGTCAGAGGAATCAAGACTCGACAAGCTGTCTCTTCCCAAAATCCCATGGTCCTCTCTGGACTGGTCTCTTAATATATCATCACTCAATCAGAAATACCTTTACAAAGCCTGTCAGAAGACTACTCTAAGGCTAGATACTCCTCTTCTCCCAGGACTCAAGGGGGTCAATGGATTCATCAATGAAGGCAATTTCTCAAGGTTCAACCAGCTTCCTGCCTGTAAACAGGTTACTCCACCTGGTGAGAAGTGAGCAAGCATGTGAGAGAACCCTGACTTTCTGCAACTTTCAACTCTAGTTCTCCCACCCACGCTTCAGAAGAGCCCCAGAATCTGAATCTGAGCCCCGCGGCCCCAATGTGCTCACCGCCAATGTCACCTCAAGCCCAGTCTCTTATTTGGCACTGGGCTTATGGACTTCAGGTCTGAATCCTACTTTCCCCTCCATTAAATCCAACCTTATCACCACCAATCTTACGGAATCATTCTCCTCTGGGGAAGAGGGCAAATGACCGGAAAGGGCAGATGTGAGGATTAGAATGCACTGGAGCAGGTCTAATAACATGTTGGGGGCTCTCATATCCAACCTCACCTCCTAGGCTTTTTCCTCCCCTCCTCCACTAATACAGCCGGCCAACCCAACCACAGCTGAGGCCTGGTCTCTGATAGAAGGGCGGGGTCTGAGCCTACCAGTCCAGAGCCGCTTCCTCGCATCAGGCCAGATCCTCCAAGGCTGGAGGAGGGTTAAGTCCCACATGGAACCCTCTCGCTCCAGATTCCCTGACCCTACTCTCCACGCAGGAACCTACGCATGAGTTCCACAGAGTGGGAGTTAGGTTTTGTGCACTCCCAACGTGCAGACAAGCAGGGGAGAAGCATTCACCTATATCCTAGCCTTGCTATGGTTGGGAAACGGATGAGAGTCCTAATCCCGGGCTGCGGCAGGAAAGCGCCCTTACCCAATGCTGACTCCGGAGCGGGCCGGGTGGCGCTTGCCCATCCCCGGATCCTTCGCTGGCGGGTGGCAGGACGTGGGGCTGGGGTCGTCCCGCTAGCCTGCCTGCAGAGCTTGCGGGACTCGGGCAGGCCGGGCTAGGCCAGACGGGGCGGGGCCCGGAGAGCCCCATCCGGGTGGTCTGGACCAGAGAAAAAAAAGCCTGGCCACAGCGCAGTCCGCTGCACCCGCTACAGGCACCACACTGCCGGATAGGCGCCTGTCTCTGTGTTCCCCTCGGCCGCCGCCTCAGAGGACCGGCGGGAGGCGGAGCCGCGCGCGACACATGGCCCCGTCCCCGCGCGGCTTTGGGCCGCCGGTGGGGGTGGGGGGGCGCCCGGAGACTGGTAGCGGAGGCTCCAGGCGGCCCAGAGCGCGGCTCTAGCGGCCTAGCCCCCGCCCCGGCGCGCTAGCCCCGACACTCACCCGAGGGGCTGGCACGATGGCGGCAGCGGCGGCGGCGGCGGCGGCAACCCAGCGCGGTCTGCGACCGACTGTCCCTTCCCCCCTGCCTTCCCTCGCCACCCCGCTGCACTCTGGGAAACGCAGTTCCCCCGACCTCCTTTCTGGCGTAGGTGCGCCAGGAGAAAACTACAGTTCCCAGTGTGCTATGCGCTGGGGACCAGACACAGCCCTCAGCGCGGGAGGTGAGGCTAAGCCAGGGAGGGAAGCTGCCAGGGCGAGCCCCTGAGAATTGTGGTCTAGCGGAAGCCTCTGGAACACCCGAGGTTGGCGCCAGGCAAGGGTCAGGGCTCAGTTGTCGCCAGGTCCCAGCTGGTCTGGCCCCGCCCAAGTTGCGCGGTCTTTTGGATTGGGCCCCGCCTCCGTGCCTGGCCAGGCCCCAAGCAGGCCTAGCCGCCCCTCCCTGGGCCCCTGGGCTGTTTCCGCTCCCGAACTCCCCTCCTCTTCGGTGCTCTGGCCACCACTTCGACTCTTCGGAGCGGTTCTCTAAAGCTAGCCAGGGCAAAAGCCATAGTTTCTGCTGTCCCAATGTTCATGCGCCCAGCCCGGCCCAAAGCTGGTTTCGAGCAGTCGAGGCTTTTCCTTCGGCTGGAGACTCAAATGCTCAAGTGGGGCTCAGCTGGAGACAAAGAGTAATCTTGTACAGTTCGGGTCTTCAAAACCTAGTCATACGGTGGTTTTTTTGTTGTTGTTGCTGTTGTTCGTTTTATTTTACTTTTTGCAGCAGGCGGAGCCCCGAAGGGTTTAATTTTTATTAACGAGAAAAGAACTCACCCAAACTTTCCCCAGGATTTAAGTGACCAGATTGTCAATAATTTCCTTCCCACCCATTGCCCTTCCATCACTTATTTTCGTCGTTTCCTGGGCAATACAAACACTTAAAGGAAGGCCTGTTTCTAAGTCAGGGCTGTTGGGTAAATGCTGTGCAGCTAACCCAGGTGAACCACAGGTAAGGAAAATATTTTCCTGGCAGTTCCATGCCTTCCCTCCTGCCAAGACTCAGTATTCCTATTCTTCCGTAAGTTTTGCACCTTCACCAATACCCCCCCCCCCCACACACACACATATTCGCTTCTTGGGGATGGCTGGTAAACCCAGGCCGAGCTTCTGTTTATTAAATCCCAGGTCTGTACTAATTTGCCTGACTAGATGCTTCTTACTCATCCAGTGAAAACTCTGCATTGTCCTGCTTGTGTGCATCCGGGGCCTCCCTTGTTAAGCTGTCAGGCCCCCTCCCCCTAAAAGCTAAAACACTGGATAGGCTGTGTGCACATAACCTCCAGACACCACAGTCCTGGCCAGAGCCTGGCCCTCACCTATCCTGGGAGTGCTGCTGAGAGGTCCAAGTCAGCCAAAGTAGAAGGTGTTAAGTCCCTTCAACAAACAGGAGCTAAGATACACTAAAGGACATAGACTGAGCCTAGGAAAGCTCTCAATCCTAGTGGAGAGTGGGGACATGTGAGAGACTGGTTCAGTAGCCGTGCACGAAGGGGAATGCTGTGCTTCCACCACCTTATTTATGATTAGCTGGAACTAAACCTAGGAAGGCAGACAACCAGTTCCTTCCCCAACCAGGCACCTGCACAACCTGTATTCCACCCCTCCTCCCCACGAGACTTGTTTGTTTCTCAAGTCAGTGCCAAGGGGCCGAGAGCAGAGACTAGAGAAACATTTGTCATTGCAGTTCACAGATAAACGGAAGTCCCCAGGGAAGTGGCTTTTTCTAAAGTAACAGAGAAGGGGGTCATGTTTTATGGAGCCCAAGAAGTGTCCATTTGTGCCCAAATACTTACAGTAGATAAGGCAAGCTTTAAAGATATTTGCCTTTCCCTACTGGCTTTGAGCTAAATTACTTGGACCTATGGATAAAAACATCACCTCACTCCTGTAATCTCCCATCTAAAGAAGAATAAAAACAGCCAAGAAAATGAATCACCGGGTCACAAATCCCAATTCCTCCACACTCAAAGTGTACCAGGGCCAAGGTATCTGTACAAGAGTTATGCCTGCAGGAGCCATGGCTGGCTCCAGCTGTGGTCTTCACTGACTTAAGTAACTGCAAGCCCATGTGTGCCAGATGCTGTACTAAGTGTCAGGGCTAAAATGATGAGTGAAATTCAACCCCAGCTTAAAATCATGAAGGATTCAAAACCCTCAAGAGAAGGGAGGGGTCACAGTCGGTTTAGTTCTCAGTTGCTCCTTCTCCCAATCCACTGACAAACTGGGACCATTTGGTGCAGTTTCCAAACTCTGGAGTGAGCTGGGCCAGGAACTCTGTAAGAACCTTACGAGGCCAGGGTCCATGTGCTCAGGGCCCCTTTATGGAGAAACATGGTCAGTGAAGCATTTCTACTCTCAGGATCAGCCTGGTCCTTGAGACCTAGGGCAGAGACCTGTTGGGAGGCCTATTTCCCCATGTTTCAGGAATACTTAAATGAGTCTTTATCAAAATAAAATGGCGAAACCCAAATTAAAACCTTACTTTCTGTTTAATTCGTTTTGCCAAACAAACACAGTGAAAACTTTAGTCTGACTAATTGTACAGAAAATAGAATTTGTAACCAGTAGCAAACATAACAAGATAAACCTAAGTCCCTGGCAAGCTGGATCTTCAACAGCAGGTCACCTAGATCCCCTTGTAGATGGCCTCCTGGGGAGAGAGGTCCTAAATAGGCAGAGGCACAGTTCCCATCAGAATCACAGTCTGCACCTGGGAAGGAAAAGCAGGAAAAGGAGAACTGATGTTACTTGGATCTCTTATCACTACACACGGAAGAGCTGTCCCAATGCTGGCCAACCTCAAGGTGTTGTCTTCCTAAACCCATAGTCCTTGGGCAGCTGACCTGCATTCTGAGGGGTTAAGTTTCAAGTTCAGTGGTTCTGAAGCCTCTGCTTAACCAGAACCTGCAACATAAACAGGGGGTGAGGTGAAGAATGGGGGACAAAGTCATAAATGCTGGTGTCACCCGTGCAGAGTCTGAGGTCCCAAACTTCAGGACCTTGCTTCAGGAGAAAACAAGAGAGGGTGTCAGGTCACCAGCAAAAGAGTCCAGCTGCCCTAAGCTTCAGTACTGTCAACCAGTGTCCCAGGAATATAGGGGAGTTCACCAGCAGCGGCCTAAGGTCCCTCTAGGTCCGGGAGTCCAGCAAGCCAAAGTGGGGGGGGGGGGGCGTTCACATTCCGTGCTTCTTTCGGATGACAGCCATGGCCAGCAGCCTATCCTTCTCGCGGAGTTCTTCTCGTAGCTTGGCCTCAGTGAGACGCAGGTGGCGGATGCTGCCTTTCATTTCCTTCATCTTCACCTCCATCAGCGCCAGGATGTCCCGCTGCTCGTTCAGCTTGCGCAGGAGCTCCTCCTCCGTGGTGCCTGACGACAACGAGTATGAGTGGTCGGAGCCAGTATCAGGGAAGCCCTCTTCACCCACCACCACCAACTGGGGACCCATAGGGCACTCTGCGGCCTCCAGCCCTGCTGTAGCAGCCTCTAGCTCCGACGCGGCGGCGGCGGCGGCTGCGCCCTCGGCGGCGGCGAACTCCACTTGCACGGTCAGGTCGATAGGTTTCACGTCTTCGCCTGTGGGAGTGGTGGGAGCTGGGGGCACGGACCCCGGGGCCTGGCTGCTGTCTACAGCGGCCTGAAGGGTGAGAAGCACAGCAGCAGAGGCAGACACCAGGTTCGGCTGCAGCTGGGAGGCCTGGGCAGTGGAGGCTGACGGCGACGACTGCTGCTGCGGCGGTGGCTGTTGCTGCTGCTGCTGCTGCTGTTGTTGTTGCTGCTGCTGTTGTTGTTGCTGCTGCCTGCGGCGAGCGGCTGCAGCCCCGGCGGGTCTGCGTGCTACTTTGCGCTCGTTGACGCCACGCAGCGGGAAGATGGTAGGGACGCGCACCGTGTAGGTCTTGCGGCCGCCTTGGAAGTGGACGCTGCAGAGACGGTGGCCCGTGGTGGGCTGAAAGGTAGAGAAGCACCCACTGACGCCAGCGCGGGACACGTTCTTGAGCCAGAGACGCCGCAGTTCAGCGTCCTTGGGAAACGTATAGAAGTGCAGCGCCTTGTCCCGGTGTGAGTTGTTGTAGCAGCCCGGCACGCAGCACGTAAAGCCTGGCATGGCTGCGCCGCGCGGCCCGCCTCGGCCCTGCCCACCGGCCTCCTAAGCCCTTCGACGGCCCGGTCGGTCTGCCGCCGCCCGCCCCCTCGACGGGCGGCGCCGGGCGGGTCTTTAGGCGGCTTCCCACTAATGCCGCCCGGCGCAGCCGGCCTGGCCCGGCGCCCCGTGCCCAGAATACGCTTCCCGCCGGCCCGCGCCGCGCCACCCACCCGGCCGCCCGCCTGCGCTCCAGAGTCGGCCCCGGGGACGCCGCGAAGGACCGCCCGGGAAGGAGGACTACGCCCCCCACAATGCACCACGCCAGAAGCTGCTCACTTCCGGAGCGGGGGCGTGATAATTCCAGCCGCTTTCCTGGGCGCCGCTATGGCCCACGCTGAACAGATTCTTACTCCCACTCGGCTAATCCCCGGCCGACTATAGAGGCGTATTCGGTTGCAACGCCGTCTCCTGACCGCCCTTCGCAAGGACCTGGAATCCTGATACGGCGGCCGGGGAGGGGGGGGTGTGGGGAGGCGGGAGGCGCGCGCCTCTGTAGTGCGCAAGCGCCCTGGGTATTTGCCCACAAAAACCACAAATCCCGCAATGCCTTGCGCTGAACTCGGCTGCTGTGGCCTGCAGCGCCGCCTAAAGGAGAGGCCGGGTTACAGGGGACTAGGAGTTGGGTGAGGTTGTGCCAGCGGACAACCTTGCCGGAAGCGGTTCCCCAATCACTGGCGGTTGTGAGTCTACAGCATTCCTGCGGGGCTTGGGTGGGCGACCGGGGCTTCAGTGCCCAGAAAGACCTCAGGAGCCCCTTTCTCTGCGTTGAGCACTCTCCTAATTCAGCCGCTGTTTGCGATGACTCACTTACTGACCTAAACATCAGTCACCAGTTGATGCTTACTGTGTGGCGGGCACAGGGCAGTGCGTTGGGAACCTTGCAGGAGCTGACTGACCAGGCCTGACTGCTGCGAGGGATGAGGGTCCAACTTTTGGATAATAGATGTGAATGCACCTGAATGGATTTCTAATCACAGAAATAAGTGCTACAAAATAATGAACAGGACAGAGGAAAAAATGGGAGGCGGAGTCCCAGGAAGAAAAAAAAACGGTGAAAAGCTGGAGGGGGGGGGGGGGGGAGTAGCTGGCCCTGAGGCAAAAAAGAACTAGGCTCCGCCCTTCAAAACCTGGAAGATGCCAGGCTGGGTAGCTGGAGGGTCAAAAGATACCAAACTGGGCTAAGTTAAAAGATTTGGGATTTAATTCTGCAGAGGACTGAGAGCTGTTGAAGTGTGTTGAACCAGAGGATGGACAGGATTTGTATTGTAACAAGACCCCTCCCCACTCCTCTACTTCTAAGGAGAAAACGTTCTAAAGGACCAGAGAGGCTGTGGAAAACCAGGGAGGAGGCTGGGAAGTCTTTAGGGAAGTTACTTGCAAACAGCCCTCCTTTGCTGAGTTCCCCCTTTCTCCGCTTCTTGCCTTTCTTCACCCTTTTTCCTGATTCTCCCTCCTAATTTTTTTTCCCTCCTGATTACAAACCATGGGTGTGAAATTGGAGCCTAGTATAAACTACTTCTAAGTATTTGATATAAAAACAAGAAAGATTCGGCTTTACAAGCATGTGAAAGAAAAAGGAACACCCCAAGTTAACTGTTACATTTTTTTAAAGTGTTTTATTATAAGAGGAACCCATTCTTAAAATATTTTGTAAACATTACAAAAAATTTTTTTTAAATGGGGTGCCTGGGTGGCTCAGTCGGTTAAACATCCAACTTCAGCTCTGGTCATGATCTTGTGCTTTTATGAGTTCCAGCCCCGTGTTGGGCTCTGTGCTGAGAGCTCAGAGCTTGGAGCCTGCTTCAGATTCTGTGTCTCCCTCTCTCTCTGCACCTCCCCCATTCGTGCTCTTTCTCTCTCTCAAAAATAAACATTAAAAAAAATTTTTTTTAATGTTTTGGAAAAATACGGGACAATGGAAATGAACTATTTGTCTGGTCCAACATGCAAACATCACCCTTGCACTTTGTGTTCACAATCAACGTGCTCCATGGTTATTGGCATGGGTTTCACAGACCCATACCAGAAAGAAGTTCCATTCCTCCTGGCCTATGCAGCTGAGGTCCACAGCTTGAACCCCCTTCAAACTTAGAAATGCAGTCCATGTTGAAAAATGTGCATTCATTTGGATGAATATACAACAGTAAAAACATGAATACACACTTTGTTAAATGATTACATGTTTATGAAATGTATGCAGTAGAGATAAAGCAAAAGATCATTGTTACATTGTTTTGTATTTTCATTGTCATACTATCACTGATAGAATTCTATTCTTGTCTCAAGACGTAACTTCCTCAAAAAATATTAATGAGATCAAATTTATATCGTTTCTTCATGCACAGAACATTGAAGATGCTCAATAAAATCGTACCTTCCAGTACATAAAATCACCTCTAATCTACACATAATCTTTTATACTTAAAACATATCTAGAATGCATAGCTCTCTCCCCACCCCTACTGCCCTGCCCAACCTCTATCTTGTCACCTCTGGAAAAAGGCTACAACCTTGTCACAAGTCTCCCTGCTGCCAATCTTGCCTCCTCTAAAAAATCTGTTATTCACATGGATACCAAAAAAATATGGTTATGTAATTCCTCTGCTTAAATCCTTCCAGTGGCCTATTGCATTAAGAATAATGTCCAAACTCCTTTCCCGAGCCTGTAAGACCCCACATGGTCTGCTCCTTGCCTGTCTTAATCCTCCCTCCCTTGCTTCATGCACTCAGTATTTTCTTTTTTAAAAGTAGCAAATATAAAGTTTAATCAATTATGTAAAACACATAGACACCTGATCTAGGAGCAAAAGGATAAGTCCATAACTCAGAACTCAAGTTCTGATTAAATTTCCATGAAAATTTAAGAAAGGCTGTCTTGGTGAAAAATGTGCTAATAGAGTCTCTAGCATTAACAGAACTTTGAAAGCCAAATTTCGTCTCAAAATTGCACGTTTGGAGATCATAACATTTCTGCTGCATCACAAACAGCCCACTAGCTTTTGAGCCTGCAGCCTGGTCTCTTCTGAGGCTGAGTAGTTTTCACAAATGCAAATCTGACCAGATCACATATAGGATAAAATTATTTTTTCCTGGCCCAAGTGTGCCTAGTCAACTAGGAGAGGGAGATGGGAATAAGAGACATTCTAATAGTGACTGCTATTTATTAAGGGCCTGGCTTACTATATATCAGACACTGAGCTAAACATTATCTCAATGAGGGGCGCCTGGCTTGCTCAGTAAGTAGAGCATGTGACTCTTGATCCCAGGATCCTGAAGTTGAGCCCCATGTTGATGTAGAAATTACCTAAACAAACTTTAAAAAATTATCCCATTGGATCAGTACAAGCCCCTATTAGGTGGATATCATCCTCAACTTACAGATGAAGAAATCAAGTCTTCGACTGATGGCACACATTTGCCCAGGTTCACTCCCTGGTAACAGTGCCTCCAATCCAGAGTTTACAACGACCGCGCCAGGGTCCTCTGAGCGGGTAGGGTTGGAACCGCAACTCCCGTGAGGCTGTGCGGCAGCCTCGCCGCCTGCCGACTCGCGAGAGTTGGCTCAAACGCGGCGGCGGGAAGGCGGTGGAGCGGCCCACCTGAGCAGTTGGGTGGGAGAGCGAATGGCTGAGGCAATGGCGGATAGCTACAGCCAGGACAGCGAGCCTACCACACGCACGTTGCTGCGGCGCGTGCTGGATACCGCGGACACGCGCACCCCGCAGCGACGCCGAAGTGCTGGAATTGGGTATGTGAGGGCGCTGCGCGAGCATATGAGCAACCAGAAGGATTAGGGGGTCAGGTTTCCGTGGGAGACCCCGTTTGGAAAGGGAAAGGGGAACTGAGTCTCGGAGAGGCGCAGGACTCAGGGTTCTGAGAACTGGCTCCACCCTTCTAGCTAGGCTCAGGTCAGCTGTTGGTGCCCGCCGCCCAGGGACTCCAGGCTGACAAGTCTCGGGACCACGGACCTCAAATCACGTTCGGGTCTTTGGGTTTCGGCCTCTGGTGAAGGATAGGCGCTCAGAATCTGGCCTTTTGGCCCGTTCTACGGGCCATCTTCCCCGACATCAGCCCAGAGTGTGTCCAAGCATCTGCCCTGCCTCCTATGTGTCCTCCACCTTTCCCTGCACATTCACTCCCCTTTTCCTGGAGGGTCCTTCTGAAAGATGGGAAAGGAGCTATAGAGAACAGCCTACGTAGAATTCAGGAGGCAGGAACTAGAAAGACGTTTTGCTAGGGAGTAGGGAATTGGCTTGACGTAGTGGCAGTGACAGTGGATGAGGTCTGTGGTGAGCTCATGGTGCAGAGGGTGTGGAATTTGGCATCAGCCAGACAGGGGCAGTACAGTTCTTTTATAGGCGCTGGGAAGCTGTTCGTTGTAGGTTTTAGACCTATAAGTGATGAGGTGGGAGCTATGCCTTGGGAATTTGAGGGAGACTGGAAAGAAGAGACTAGGACTGGCGTGACCCATGTAGAAGTTGCTGTCAAACCCTGACAGGCATTTAAAAGCCTTCAAAATATTTAAAATCCTTCTTGGGTTGTTATTTTTTTTAATGTTTATTTTTGAGAGAGAGAGAGCATGTGCACTAGAGGGAGAGGGGCAGAGAAGGAGACAGGGAATCCCAAGCAGACTCCGCACTGTCAGCACAGAGTGCGATGCTCAACCGACTGAGCCACCCAGGTGCTCCCTTGGGTTGTTATTTTAATGTCAGGAATGGATACTGTTCCATTTGCTTCTCTTGTCTGTGTGGCTAACCTCTGCTTCTAAGAAAGTCAGTTCTGTAAAGGTTTCCTCAGTCCCTCTCTCTAGGTAGGTCATTATGGTCCTTCTCTATTCCCATATCCCTCAGGTTCCCCTTCATCCACAACCTTGTTGATACAGAGCTGAGAACAGGCGCTAGGGGAGGAGCAAGTGGTTTCTGGTTCCTTGGCCTTGAGGGAAAAGGGCTTTAGGCCAAGATTCCTGATGAAAGCACATCTCCGCATCCTCTAGTTTCCTGTCCCTACTTAATTCTCAGAGCAATTGGTCTTTACACAGTGCCCAGAAATCCCTACTTGAAACACCTTCCTCCAGGAGGTTGAGCAGCTCAACAAAGACGAATGCAAGGCGGCGTTCCCAAAGAGCCAGGGTAAGTGCCCCAGCCCATTGACCCCTACAGGGCTCTTGCTGCATTCAGGGGACCCTGAGGTCTAGCTCTGCTCTGGAGCCCACCTTGAGGGAATCTCAAGGCAAACAAACAGACTGATTACTTGATGCTTTCACCCAAAGTCTATTGGCAGATTGGCCCATGTTCAAACCAGTGGACACCTGGAGGAACAGACACCCCGGACTCTGCTGAAGAACATCCTTCTAACTGGTGAGTGAACACTGGCTTGCTGGTCGGAGTTAGACACCAGTCCCATGGTATCTC